GGGGGGGGGGGCACTGGGAGTTCCCAGCAAAGATCTTGAACAGGAGCATGTTATGAGGCAGTAGGGCTGCGGTGGGCGTGGGAAGAGCAGGGATGAGGTCAGAGGGCTGGGCAGGGCCAGCACAGCTGGTCAAGAGCGTGGATCTCACTCTCAGTGTGACCGGAAGATGTTGGAGAGTCAAAAGCAGGGGCGAGATTCCCGATCTGATCTTTCTCCTGAAAGGACGGCCCGGCTCCTGCTGGAGCTGAGGGGCTCGAGGGGCAGGGAGCCAGCGGGGGCGCTGTGCAGGGACCCCGGGAGCCAGATCCTGCTGCTGCACCGGGAAGGTCAGAGTGGAGGCCAAGAGAAGCCGATACAGGATACGCTTGAAGGTGGGGATTCCAGGGAATGAGAGAAAGGGCAGGGGGTCCAAGGGCACCCTCACCACCGCTTTGCCTGTACATTTAGGGACACCCGGACACAGTATTCACAAACCCAGGGGTCCTTGGCCCAGGAGGCACCACCATCAGACTGGGGCCCCTCCCCATCGGCCCCCAAACCCGGGCCCCTGCCTCCAGGGAAGGGAAAACCCCAAGTGCAGCGCCCCCGCCTCCACCGCCCCATGGCAGCCCCCTTCAGGGAGCGAGAGGGATGATTAAGAGTCAGCTCCAGGATAATGGGCAGATCCCAGGCCTGGTGGGATTTAGAGGCCACCGTGGCCGATGTCTTGCCCTTGTTTGGATTTTCTGGGAGACGCCACCTGGAGCCAGGGGCCTGGGACCTAGGTCACAAGTCCTTGCCCCTCTGCCATCCCTCCTTTATCTGGGTCCCCCCTCGGGTCTAGTCTCTGGCTCGTCCTCGAAAGGGAGTGGTCAGATGTGAGCCTGGATGTAGGCTCAAGATGTAGGCCTGGATGTAGGCCCCTGCAGTAGGCAGGGGCACGGTGGCCCTGCGAGGTTGTAGCCACCTGGGAAAAACCAGCTCGGGCCTCTTCCTAGCCAGCCGAGCTCTGCAGGGCCAAGCCGGTGACGCTCAGCTCAAGGATTCCAGGTCGTGCAGTGTCCTCTGGACCTCGGTCCCTGGAAAAGCCCACTAGGAAGGGGGTCATTGAGCCCGGGCATTCGGGGTCCTGTAGCTCAACCCCTTCTCTCCACATACAGACTAGGTTCCCTGGCAGCATGCGTTACAAAGGGGCTCTTCCCCTAGGGGATCTTGACAGGTAAGAGCCTCTTGCTTCCAGAACCCTTCAGCCCTCCAGAAGGCAGGGTAGAGATGGACATGCCAGGTTCTAATCCAAACTCTGCCACGTGCTTGCTCTGTGACCTTGGGCAAGTTGCTTACTCTCCCTGGGCCTCAGTTTCCTCATCTATATAATGGGGATAATGACGCATCACTATCAGGTTCACGTGAGGATTCAGACCAGGGCCACAGGTAGCAGGTCCCTCCCTCTTTCTTCCAGAGAAGGTGAGAAAACAGCAAAACGCCAAGAGTCCAAAGGGCAGGCTGGCAGCCCCTGGCTGACTCTGAGGGCTCCCAGGAGGCAGAAAGGGAAACTGAGGCAGCGAGTGCTGGTGGGAGGCTGCTGAGAAGAAGGTGCTGGTGGCAATAGGTGAGCAGAGCGGCAGCTATTTATTCTGGGGGTCCTGACCCCAGGCACCCTCACCTCCCCCACTGCCGTCTCTCTGCTTGTTCCAAGCCTGGGGGCCATGAGGCCAGGAGCCGGAATCAGGAGGAAGGATGTGGCTGTGGGTCGGCTGCTCTGTGCATGGGGGGAGAAAGGAGGATGAGGCTCTGGACCTGGAACGGCAGAGGGAAGGGATGAGGGGCCATGAGGCCCAGGCCCTGGTCCTCCTGCCCTCCTGGCCACCCCAGACCTCTGACCCCGAGTGTTTGGCCCTGTGGGGCACAGCCCTGGCCCTGCCGAGCAACCCCCACCGGTACCTCAGAGGAGCGGGCAGGTCTGTGTGCCCCTTCCCTGGACCTCACCCTCCCCACCGTCTACCCCAGCCTTGAGACAGAAGCCACCTTGTTCCCCAAAATGAGGCTGGCACCGCCCACCCGGACCCACCTGACTGTGCCCTCAGTGCTGGTCCAGGATGAGGGGCACCTGGGCGCTGTCCACCCGGGGGGGCAGCCGCTCGCCCGTGCGCACGTTGAACATGGGCAGTGTGGAAAGCGGCCGGGGCACCTCACGGCTGGATGCCATCTGTCGTAGTTCCTCCGTGTTCCCGCGGATCGTGCAGTGGTGGACCATCTGGATGCTGGGGGCACAGAGCCGGCAGAGTCATCAGCCCTGGGAGTCAACCCCGGTGAGATGCAGCATGCCGCTGGCTGCGAGCCCCCCTGCCACCTCCCCCACCTGGTATGTAGGGGGAAGCTCGCACACACGACAGGTGAGGGGAGGACAAACTGGAAGGTCTTCGGTGACAGCTCAGTGGCCAGTCATGGGAGCAGAAGCCGTGGCTGCAGACGGCCTGGATTCAAAGCTCTGTGTCCCTGGCAAGTTGCTTAACCGCTCTGCACCTCAGTTTCCCCAACCGTAAAATGGGGATAATAATAGGACTACCTTCTAGCGCTGTAGCAGCAATTAGGGGAGAAAAGTGTTTTTAGAAAGGCGCCTGGAGCATGGTAAGAGCTTCCGGGATGCTAAGACATGAAGAGATACCCACGGTGGATATATTATTTCCAGAGGCCGGTGTCTGCTGGGCTTTATGTACTGATGACCCTGTAGGACCCGTCCAGCACTCAGCTACCTCCCCTAATACTCTCTCCTACCACTGACCGTCCAGCCCTCCCCGCCTCATCCCTGTCTTAGTCTGGCAAACCTACCCCCTCTCTCTTCCCACCTCCCACTTTTGCTCATGCTCTCTCCTGCCTGGCCTTGACAGTATCATCTTCTGGCTCCTCCCATCTAGCCTCCCTTGCCTTTGTACCTTGACCCCTCTCAACCTGCTCCAGTCTGCCCCCAGCACCAACTAGCTCTGGACACTGAGTCTCTTCTTTCTGTCTTTATTTCAGACCAAGGCTCCTTGAGGCCTGCACCAAGCCCCGGGCTCAATGGGCCTGGAATCCCCGCGTCCTTCCTGAACTCAGTTTCTTCCCAGAAGGCTCAGCCTCGTTCTCATCTGACAAGTCTCATGAGCTTGCTTTCCGCTGTCTGGGGCAAGCTTTAGTTCACTCTGAGAAGGAGGGTCGCACAATGTAACCTAGCACGAAGACTTGCTTTGGGTTCGAATGTGAGTTCTACTCCTTACTGGCTGTGTGACCTTATGCAAGTCACTTAACTTCTCTGTGCCACGATTTCCCCGACTGTAATGCGGTTGCTGTGCAAATTAAATGAGTTAATGCAGGGAAAACAAATCTCGCCTGGTCAGCATCACGGCAAGCGGCAGCTAATATTACAGGGAGCTTGCTGTTGCTATCATAATTATCAATGTTGTTTTGTTATAGCGGGCGCACTGCTGTGCTTAGCCTCCAGTAAAGGGATGTTTCCAAGCCCCTTTCCACGAACCCACCCACATTTGTGAGTCCAACTTGGAGATATTTTCCCAGACTACTGGTTGCCAGGTGAGACAGCACGAACCTTTCATCACAAACAATAAAGGGCTGGGGCCCTAGGCAGGGCGGAAGCTACCCTACTTGCCTCTGGGCTACTGATCAAATGGGGAAGGGGCAATGACCCCCACCCCTGTCCAAGTCTCAGTTAGTGGACTGAGCTAGACTCCAGCTAGACTCCGGCTAGAACCTGACAGATGAGACGACAGGTCAGACTCTCTAGCTTCACGCCGAACGGGCCACACTCCTCCTCGGGGGTGGGGGAGTAGGACCAAGTCCCGTCTGGTTGGCGGGAGGGGGTGGGGTCACCCTAGAAGGCCAGGGTAGGATCCAGATGAGCTCTTGAGTCTGGAATTTGGCAAGCAGAGTTGTCCAAAACACAATTTTCCATTCCCAGGCAAGGGGAGGCTGAGGGAGAAAGGAAGTAAGAAACATGTGGATGCTTAGGGCTGGAGGCAGCTGGGCAGGTAATGCCCTCAGTAGGAGAAGGGCCTGAGTTAATGGGCCCCCTCCCTGCCCCCAGCCCCACATCTGGGTCTCATTACTCTGGCAACACACACAGGTGGAAAATGTTCTGGGGGATGTTTTTCCAGAGCAGGAGGAGAAGCCAGACCCGCACCGCCTTCTCCCACAGTCCTTCCACATCAGCACTTGGACAGACGAACGAAGGGGCAGGCATTCCTACACATGCACACACACACACACACACACACACACACACGGCCCACTACCAACACACAACGCTCGAGCCCTGTCTCTGGCACACAGACCACACGAGAGGGTCAGGCTGGACGGCTTTCTGGCCAGCAAAATCTGATACGGACAGCAGAATCACAATTTGCGGTTTGAAAAAAAAAAAAAAAAAAAAAAAAAAAAGAAAAGAAAAAAGGTAGTTGCAAAAAACTTTTGAAAAAATGGTAGACATTGAACAAGCAAAAACAAGAATTGAATTTGTGGAAATAAATCGACGCAAGATCCAAACCAGCAAGGGCTAATATGGCACCTGGTAAACCCGGGGATTGATTCAAACTTGATGAAGATTTTCTGATACCTTCGGAGCTACAACACTGACCCAGGAAAGCTGGCCACTGGTGGAAATATCTGGTCAGAAGAGAATTTCCACAATGGCAGAAGATGTGAGTGATCAAATTGGGCACGGCCAAAAAAATGGAAGAATGAAATCTTCCTTGAAAAACGTACATGGAAAATCCTCCACCTCTCTGGGAAAAAATTCTATCAAATAAAAATGAGAATAAGAGGGGCGCCTGGGTGGCTTGGTCGGTTAAGTGTCCGACTTCGACTCAGGTCGTGATCTCATGGTCCGTGAGTTCGAGCCCCGCATCGGGCTCTGGGCTGACCGCTCAGAGCCTGGAGCCTGTTTCAGATTCTGTGTCTCCCTCTCTTTCTGCTCCTCCCCTGTTCATGCTCTGTCTCTCTCTGTCTCAAAAATAAATAAACGTTAAAAAAAATTTTAAAAAAAAATGAGAATAAGAAAAAAAAAAAAAAGCAGAGGCTTTCCATTGCTTTGTGGTCAAAGATGACCAAGGAATCAAATCGACCTAGGTAAGTTGAAGAAGTACATTTCCGTTCACTCTGGAAAATATTTTCCCCATAAAAATTCACAACTGTTGATGGGGCACCTGGGTGGCTCAGCTGGTTAAGCATCTGACTCTCGATTTCAACTCAGGTCATGATCTCATGGTTTGTGAGTTTGAACCCCGCATAGGGCTCTGCGCTGACAGCACAGAGCCTGCTGGGGATTCTCTCTCCCTCTCTCTCTGCCCCTCGCCTCCTCTCAAAATAAATAAATAAACTTAAAGAAAATTCACAAATGTTGGTATAATTCTGATTCTAAAAGTGTTTCTATTCCTCAACCCAATGGGGTGCGATGGTGGGGTCAAAATGGTGGGTTGGAAACCAGGGTCTCAGAACACCCTGAAATCAGCTGGCACATTCGTTTCAAAACACGCATGCGGATGGGAGGCCCCACACCTCAGCCCTTCTTCCCGGGGTACCTGGCTTGTCAGATGCCCACACTATCTGGCAGCTCCCATCTGCACCTCCCAGGAGGGAACGACGGGACTATTGTGACCCTCACAGGATTCTGGTGACCTCACAATGTCCCCCTGAGGTCACCACAGAGATAACCTTGCCGCCTCCTGCACCTGAGGCACAAGTCTGTGAGGCCAGCCGTGGGTGATCATTCTTGGTCCTCCTTCTGGCCACCCAGGGGAAGGCTTGGGCCGGAGCCCTCTGCGGGCGGAAGCCTCTGAGGGAACCAGGAGCAGAGACTCACCTCACCCACCGAGGAGAGACCGAGGGGAGACTTCCGGCCACCACCCTGGAGGTCCTTGCGCCTAGTTCCCTTCACCCGCCCCAGGGAGAGATGCAGAAAAACACTTTGCTGCCGCCCGCATCTCCACCCTTGGCCTTGAACGCTCTGCAGGGTGCGGGCCGGCAGGCCAGCCCATCCGGAGCCCCTAGCGAGAGTGAGACTGAGTGCCCAGCCAGCCCCAAAGTCTGCCAGAAGCCCAGCATATCCAAGGTGATCCTGGGGGTTGTGGCCCACAAGGGGGCGCACAGACACGTGACGCTGACCACGCTGAAGAAGGCCGTCGCCACCGCAGGCTACAACATGACCCAAAACGCCTGGCACTTCAAGCGAGCGGTCAAGGGGCTGGTGGACAAAGGCATGCTCAAGCAGGTGACCGGCAAGGGGGCCCTGGGCTCCTTCCGCATTGGCAACAAGTATGCCTCCAAGGTCAAGGGCAGGTCCCAGAGCCGGCGCCAGTCTGGGCAGCGCCGGTCTGGGCAGCGCAGGTCTGGGCAGCGCCGGTCTGGGCAGCGCAGGTCTGGGCAGCGCCGATCCGGGCAACGCCGGCCTGGGCAGCGCAGGTTGCAAGCAGGCTCCCAGAAGGGGCACAAGCGACTAAACAAGGGGGTTCGCAGGGTGGCCAGATGCCGCCGCAATTAACGAGGCAGGCCAGGCAAGCAGGCAGGGGTGCCAGGCCCGCCAAAGGCTCAGTGCAGTGGAAATAAAAGGAGCCTAACTTATTTCACATCTGCCTCCTGGAATCTTTGGGGCTCAAGGGGGTGGGAGGGGAAGAAGGCTGGGAACAGAGGAGGGTAAGGCCGTGGGGAGCTGGCACCTGGGCAAAATAAGGGTGAGATGGATTTGGGAAGGGCTGGGGGAATTGAAAGCATCCACAGACATTAGCTAGTTCAATGACAACATCAGTGATGTTGCAGGTGGAGAAACCAGGGCCAGAGAGCGTCATGGTAATTGTGTGACAGAACCCAGCCTGGAACCATACATGGTGTGAGAGTGTCTGTGTGTGTGTGTGTGTGTGTGTGTGCAGCCTCTTAGGTTGCTTCTCACCGCCCCCCCCCCCCAGGGTGGCAGCGAGCCCCCAGACCTGGCTGGCTCCCCACCCTTGCCCATCCCAGGTTAAAGTCTC